GGAGACATTTGGTCCGGCCGCGCCTCAGCCACACGGGACACCAGCGGGACACGGGCGGGACACCGCGGGCCCCCGGCCGCCCGGAAGGGAGACATTTGGTCCGGCCGCGCCTCAGCCACAGGAGACTTTCTCTCGCCCGCCCACGCAGCTTCGCCTCGCCCGCACGGCACGCACGAACACGAAACCGAAATCGATTTCCCGGTAGGGAGGCTCTCCGTTCCACTTCGATTTCACCCCCTCACCTCCGATACCTTTACGACCACCCTTCGGATGATAAGGAGGTTCGGGGGGGGAGGAACAAACGTCTCACTCGATCGGTCTCACTATCGATCTCACTATCGATCTCAGTATCGGTCTCGCTCGATCGATCTCCCTCGATCGATCTCACAGTCGATCTCACTCGATCTATCTCACAATTGATCTGACTATCGATCTCACAATCGATCTCACAATCGATCTCACAATCGATATCACATTCGGTCTCACTATCGATCTCACTATCGATAGCACAACCGCTCTCACAATCAACGTCATCATCATCATCAACAACAACAACATCAACATCAACATCATCATCACCAACATCATCATAATCGGGACACCGTCCTCATCATCAACACCAACATCATCATCATCATCACGGTCATCAACATCATCGGGACACCACCATCATCATCATCACCATCATCACAATCATCATCATCAGCATCATCATCAGCGACATCGGGACACAGTCATCGTCATCATCATCATCTTCAGCAGCAGCATCATCATCGGGACACCATCATGACCACCATCGTTATCAACATCATCATCGTTTTCGGGACACCATCATCATCATCTCATCCTCATCATCGACATCATCATCATCAGCATCATCAACATCATCATCAGCATCATCATCATCGTCATCATCTGGGCACCATCATCATCATTACCAACATCAGCATCAACATCATCATCATCATCATCACAATCATCATCATCATCACCATCGGGACGCCATCATCATCAACATCATCATCACCATCATAATAATCATGATCATCGGGACGCCATAATCATCATCAACCTCATCATCATCAACATCATCATCGTCATCATCGGGACACAATCATAATCAGCATCATCAACATCAACATCATCATACTCATCATCATCGGGACACCATCATCGTCATCATCATGATCATCAACATAATCATCATGATCATCATCATCCTCATCATCGGGACACCATCAGCATCATCATCATCGTCATCATCATCTTCATCAGCAGCATCATCATCATCATCATCGGGACACCATCATCCTCATGTCATCATCATCATCGTCATCATCATCAGCAGCAGCAGCATCATCATCATCATCAGCATCACCATCATCATCATCAGCATCATCATCATCATCTCAGCATCATCATCATCATCATCATCATCATCATCATCATCATCATCATCATCATCATCGCGGGACACCGCGGGACACCGGAGGGACACCGCGGGGCACCGCGGGACACCGCGGGACACCGCGGGACACCGGCGGGACACCGCGGGCCACCGGCCGCCCAGAAGGGAGACATTTGGTCCGGCCGCGCCTCAGCCACACGGGACTTTCGCGGGACACCGGCGGGACACCGCGGGCCACCGGCCGCCCGGAAGGGAGACATTTGGTCTGGCCGCGCCTCAGCCACAGGAGTTTTTTTCTCGCCCGCCCACGCAGCTTCGCCTCGCCCGCCCGCACGGCACGCACGAACACGAAACCGAAATCGATTTCCCGGTAGGGGGGCTCTCCGTTCCACTTCGATCTCACCCCCTCACCTCCGATACTGCTGGTTGCAAAGAGGAGCGAATTTTATACACCACCACCAAGAAGTGCTGTTTCTGCTTCAGGAACTCCACGGCGCCTGCGTGCTGCGCCGCGCTCCTTTTCGCCGCGGCGTCGCAGCGTCGTCTGGCATGACCCTGCCCCTTACAATTTTTGTGATACATTATTGTTGCGGGCGGTGATGGTCCAAATATTGGCCTCGCACGGATGGAACAAAACACATCGACAAAACCAAACCATGAAATATTGTGTACAAAAAGCAACACGCGGAGGGGACCGGACACGCTGCAGACAGAGTCACGGAAGAGGAGAGTAGTATTCACATTGTTGTGATTGTGGAGGGAGGAGGGAGGAGGGAGGAGGGAGGAGGGAGGAGGAAGCGGAGGAAGCGGAGGAAGCGGAGGAGAGAGGAGGCCGTGCAGCAGAAGCATCAGAGGGCGGAGACGGCGGCAGCGCTGCTCCGCGCCCCGCGGAGCTCGGCAGACCGCGGCATGCCGCGCCCTCCCGCAGCACGCCCGCGGGCTCGGGGAGGCCGCTCGGGGCCGCCCCCCCGCCGGTGTTGCCGCCCACTCAGGTCGGCGGGCGGGCGGCAACGGTCAGGGGCGGCCCGCCCGACCCCCAGCGGCCCAGCCCCTTCCGTGACGTCCCCCTCGCCTCGCCCCAAGGCGTGTTGTGTGCGGCCCGAGGGAAGCTGCAAAGGCGGGGATGTTGTCACGGGAGGTCACGGGAGGGGATGGGTCGCTAGGGGTCGGTTAGGCCTCGCCCGAGACAGGGGGGGGGGGGGGGGCAAGAAACGTGCGGCGGGTTCGTACCGTGCAGTACGGTGGGCCAGTGGGGGCGCTCGTGCGGGAATCGTCGGAGGTCTGGGGTCTGGACGGTGTGGTCGCTGGAGGTCTTCGTGTGTGGAGCCCTGGTGGTGCCTCCAGAGCCGCCCCTGGCGTGCTCCGCGCGCCATCGAGGGGAGCCCAGCGCCGATCCAAGAAGTCCGCGCGGACCTGGGGCACTTTCTGCATCGCGGTGGGGGGCGCTCGTGAAGGAGTGTGCCCGGGAGGCTTCGGACCCTGGAGGTTTCCTCATCTGCTGAGGGCGTATCCGAGGCCAAGCCTCAGGGGAGTTCCGCGGGCTTCCAGACCCTGGGTTCTGCAGCTCTTTCGGCTGGGCGGCCTGCTCAGCACATCATGCCAGCACTCGAGGGAGTGCTGGCCTCTTTCGGTTTCGCCTCCGTCGAGGAGGCTTGCGTTCGAGGGCGCCGTGCTGTGACCGAGGGAGCGGCGAGGGCCGCTCAGCGTCAGGAGGTTGACCCCTAGCCCACGGGGCTGAGCTGGGGTCGAGGCTTTGGGCTTTGGCCCCCTGTGGGTCCCTCCTGGGCGCCGTGCGCGTGCGGCGTCCCCCAGAATTCATTTGCGAGCAAGCCCCCCCAGGGCCAGAGGTGAGAAAGATGCCCTCACTGTATCGGTTAACCGACCCTTCTCCCCGTCCCCATCACCATCCAGACTTTCACCATCTCCCCCCCCCAGTTGGGGACATACCCAGCGAGGCCCGGGGAAAGCGGCCTACATCCCCATCTCTAGGGGGGGACGTCGGCAGTGGGGCCCAGGCCACGCCCATGGGGACAGGGGTTGGTTCAGCGATGCTCGCGAGCGTGCGTCTGGTTCGTGTCCTGTTTCGGCAGCAGATCATGCGAGTTTTGCGTGCCCTCGTAGTTGGATTCCGCTGACGGGGTTGGCCGCGCCAGCACACGCAGGCGAGAACTCTTCCGCCTCTGAGTGGCCTTTCCTTCCCCCCCCCCCGCCGCGGCCGCCCCCTCTGCCCTCTTCCCGCTCTTGCACGCTGGCCAATTCGCTTCTCGGTGCCCCCGTTTAGCTCTATCGCTGGTGCAGCCAACTCTGCCTCGCCGCCGACGAAAAGTGCCCTCGCAGTTCCGTCCTTCGAGTGCATGGGCGTCGACCAGCGTCTGGCCATCGATGAGATAACGCCAATGCGATGGTTCGTGTCGTGTCGTGCCAGCTTCGGCGTTGGTTTCTGACACCGTGTGGATCGTTCAACGTCGACCGATTCTGGGTGGCCGGCGGAGTTCGACCTTGAATGCCGACGGCGAGGTCGCCGCCGGTCGACACGACGCGAACCTACCAGCCAGGGGCGGTCGAGGATTCCAGGGAAGTGGCTTGAAAAGGAGCCCCGAGCGTCGCCTCAGCTGCCGCCGCGGGCCCCGAAGGCGCACGGCAGGTGAACGATGCTGAGCCGAACGTTTGACGTCGGGAGCTTTTGGGTAGCGCGTCGGGCCGCCGGCCGCTGTACTCAGCCACGCGCAGGGGGGTGGGGAGAGGGGGGAGGGCTTCTTAGAAGCACCCCTGCTTCTTAGAAGGCGCGGGCCTGATCTGCAGATGCAAGGCCGGCGCCTTCTAAGAAGCGGCCCCCCTCTAAGAAGCCCTCCCCCCTCCCTCCACCCCCTTGTGCGCGCCGCCAATGTACGCTCTCCACTCCCCGGGCTATACACATTTCAGTCCCCGGGCTGTACGCCTCCCAGTCCCCAGGTTTCGACGTCCCGAGCGGGTGCCAGCGTCCCACCCCGCGGAGAGGAGCGGCACGCTGTCCACCCGCAGGGCGTGTCGCCGGGGCCGCCGTGGCGACATCGACGTCGCCCCAACATATGTGTGCGTCGCCCACCCGCTGGGTCGACGCGCGCACCGAGAAGTCTTATATCATACGATTCGTGGCGGGCGTTTTCTGGCCATACCAGTCGTGAAACGATGTGCTGCAATATGGTTATGCCATATTTTCGGGCTGGACGCACACCTCCAAGGAGGGCACATCGTACTAGTAGGCTGTGGGCGTCCCAGGACACGGTATCCAAGAGTTCCCGACCGAACTGCCCCCCCTCGGCGGCAAGCGGGGGGGAATTGAGAAGGAAAAGGCCTTCTCAGAAGGCAGCGGGGCTTTTCAGAAACCCTCGCGCCCTCTGACACGTTTTCTGCGTCGTCGGGGGAGGCTTCGAAAACGTTTCAGAAGGCCCGGGGACTTCCGAGCCTTGTGAGAAGGCCCGCCCACTCTCACTTCCCCCCTGATTCTCGGGCCAGGCGAAAGGGGGGGATCGGGAAAGGGGGGGTTACGAAATCTGCTGCATGCAGCTGGTTTCGGCCCCACCGAGGGGCCCATTCCTCGATACATAGTCGCCTCTGGCGCCCGGAGGCGCCGGGAAAATCAGCTACGTGAGCTGATTCTCAAACCCCCCCTTTGCTATCCCCCCCTTTCGCCCGACCCGAGATTCGCCGCCGAGAACTGCCCCCCCCCGTTGACGAACACCCGATCGGAGGACGTCTGCCGCCCACCCCTCGCCGCTCTGGACCGGGGCCGATCCCTGGCCCAGAGGATCGGCGACCTCCTCGAGAGCGCGGCTACGGCATGGTGAGCGGTCAGAGGAAAGTATGCCTTGCGGCTGGGTGCCCCGAATTCTTCCAAGGGGTGCACCGAGGAGAAAAAACACACACAGACACACTTAGTCGTCGATTCACCAGAAATATGGGAAACATGGGCAGGGGGGGAGACAGAAACCCAGAAAATATGGTTAACTATGGGGAATGCTTTTATTAGTGTGCATTTCTTCGTGTGTCCCAGGGCCCCTTCAACAATGCAACGTTGGTGCCCGAGCGCAGCAGAACTGCGACCGAGGAGGACGCCGGAGCGAAGACACACGGCGCGGCGCGCCTCCCTGGCTTGGCAGGGCGGGGGGGGGGAGTAAGGCCCGTCCCTTGCGTGGTCCTTCGTGGGGGCCCTGGGCCCTTGCGTGGTTCTTCGTGGGGTCCCTGGGGTCTCTTGCGTGGTCCTTCGTGGGGGAGGAGTAAGGCCAGTCCCTTGCGTGGTCTCCGGGAGTTGGCAGACATCTGGACGCAATCTGGGCGAGCACTGCACGAGAGCGGGGCGAGGGGTTTGGTCGAAGTCTGGGCGGCAGCCGGTCGGCACCACGTTCATACGAGAGGGCCGCGGAGGCCCACGGAGAGGCTTCCACGCGGAGGCTAAGGCTCGCCCGGGATCCCGCGCCCAGGATCGGCCCAGGCCAGGAGTGCGTGGAGGCGGGGAGTGGGCGTCCTCCGCCCCGCGGCTCCCCTCCCCTCCGGGGGCGCCTGGCGGGCGCGCCGCGGCCGCATGGCGAAGCCCGGGGGCGCGATGGGCGGCGGCATGCCGGGGGGTGCTCCTGAGGGGGTCGAGGGCAGGCCTGGGTCTAGGCCTACCAGTCGGGGCCCTGAAGAAGGAACCCTTTTGGTTGGGGAGGGGCTCCGCGTTCCTTCAGTGTTTCGCAGCTTGCCTCAGGTTGTCCTTACGTTTTCGATGGGAAATCGAAGTTTAACTTATGGAAAAAAAGGGCCCCGTTCCTTATTTAGGGTTCCTTGGGTCAAGGCCCCGACTGTAGGCCTACCAGATGGGGTCCGAGCAGATGGGGTTGGATGATCGCGCCGCGTCGGCGATGCATTGGCGGTGCGTCTCGATTGTCTCCACGCCGACGTCGCCGATGCATCGTCGATGCGGCGCGATCTTGCGACCCCATCTGCTCCGACTCCATCTAGGAGGCCTCTAGGGGGGCTTCTGGACACCCGGGCGTCGCAAGCAGAACGGCTGCGAGGCTTCTCGCCCCCCCTGTTCAAGCCTCGGGCCAGCACTGCTCGAGCAGTGCCGCAGAAGGATGGGGCCGAGAACTCCGGCCGCGAGCTTCTCACGACGTCGTGGCCTCTTCGCGACGTCGGTTCTCAGAGGGTTTCGGTCCGACCCGAGGCTCCGCCGTCGTGGGAAGAAGGACCACGTCGTGAGGGAATCCTGGCTGGGGCTGTCCGTCCCGCCGTTCTGTGGCATCTCTGGGGCCATAATCGACGTGTGAGCGCCTCTGGGCACGAAAGAGACAAACAACGCCCATCGCTTGTTTTCACGACGCCCAGATCTGAGGCGTCGTGAGGAGGAGGAGGAGGAGGAGGAGGAGGAGGAGGAGGAGGAGGAGGAGGGCGGAGGAGGAGGAGGAGGCGGAGGAGGAGGGGGAGGAGGAGGAGGAGGAGGAGGAGGAGGAGGAGGAGGAGGAGGAGGAGCTTTAGCCTGCAGGGCCTCAGAAGCCTTGCGCGTGTTGGAGTGGGACCGAAGCCAGTCCAAACATGGCAAGGTGCACGGGTGCTGTTATTGAAATGAGGCGCTGTGGGCTGGGCAGGGGAAAGTCCCTTCTGCCTTCCACCCCCTTTGGAACCCTCCCGGGCATCGCGGCTCCAGAGCTGTGCTCGCCCAAGCTGGCGCTCGGCGCAGCGCTGTGCGCCAGCGGCCTGCTGGGGCTGCTGGGGCTGGTGATGCGGTCGCTGCCCCTGGAGGCCCTGTCGTCGGAGGGAAGTATCGGGCCGGACGAAAGGGGGGGATTGGGAAAGGGGGGGTTACGAAGTTTGCTGCATGCAGCTGGTTTCGGCCCCACCGAGGGGCCCATTCCTCGATACATAGCGGCCTCTGGCGCCCAGAGGCACCGGGAAAATCAGCTACGTGAGCTGATTCTCAAACCCCCCCTTTGCTATCCCCCCCTTTCGCCCGACCCGAAAGTACGGCAGGTTTGCGCAGCCTTGACGCCGCGGCGATGCTGGCGTGGGCGTTCAAGGTTCAACCGCCTCTGGGTGCCCATGGCCCCAGGACGCGCTGACAACAACGAGGGGGC